CTGCATATTGGTGCTGTTAATGTTAAATTCTTTTCAAAAATGTAACAGATTGCTGCAAAAAGAAGTCTGTAAACTGATTAATAAAAACACCAATATCATGGCCTGGACTTTGAATAATTTTTAGACAAGACTGAACTGTAAAAAAAAAAAAAAAGAAAAAAACAACAGGCAGTGCTGTTTTGTGTTCTTTGTGGACAGCTGTGATTTTCCCTTTGTTCAATTTTATAACTATGATAGAGTTACTATAGAGCCTTCACCCGAAATGTTAAAGGTAAACAGAAAACTGGGAAAATAATTTTCAAAATGTAGTGTGCCCAATTAGGCATGAGTGAGCTGAATGCCYGACTGCACACCCAATTGGCACATTAAATTTGTCATGGTTTCTTATTCAGTTTGGGTAATTGTGCATGCAAATGAACAGGTAGACATATAACCTGTAATTTCCATAAGTAATTGACATATTTGCATGTGTAATTACTTTCTTTGTAACTGAAACTGAAATTTTGACTATCTTAATGTTCATCAGGAGCATGAGCTTTGATCCTTTCAACAGGGAATGGAGTTCAATGATCCACTGACAAATTGAGTTCACCTCAGAAAAGTGGGGAATTATCTCMCCAACCTAGATTACCTTAAATTCCTTGCTGACTTAGGAAGGAGGGGTATCAGACTCCATCAGCAGTGATACATGTCAAAATCCTAGCTAAATACAAGCAGAAAGATTCTAGGTACAAAAAAAAAATATTCTTAGCAACCACTATGTCACTAAAGCTTTTTTTTTTTTGAGAAAGAATAAAAATGGGAATAGTTGGTCAACTCATCAAAGCTTTCTAAACTAAATACCATAGATACTATATAGGCATTGCTGTGGTCATTACACTTTGAGAATGAGGTAGTCTAGGAGAGTCTCTAGAAAAGGGGGTCTTTGGGAAATATTGAAAAAATGGGATCTGGATAAGACAAAATAGAAAATCTTTTCAACAAAGTCATAGAATTTAGGTGCACGGAAGTCTGCTACATAAAATGAGAGGATAAGTTGTTTTCCAAGCTTTTGGTAGATAAAGAAACAGTGATAGGCTTTGTTTTCATCAAGAAATCAAGTTGAACATTAGGAAACACTTCCTCCTTATAAGAAAAAGTGACACTGCTAGTCATAGCTTTGAGCTGTATGAGCAGGAGTCTGCAGTGACTGTAAAATCTTAACTGCCAGAAATATTAAAAACCATTTAGCCATATGTCTTTCATRAATGACACAGGGATAATTGATCCTGCCTGACTTGGGCTAACTAATATTCTCAGGGTTTCTCCCAACTGTTCTTTATGTAATTCTGTAATTTCATGGTTGTATTTAAAATTAAGTATTCTTAGTAATTGCTTAGTCTTTCAAGAAAAGCAGAATTGAAAAATTATAAAGAGCCGGCAATATATAGTTTCACAAACATTACAGTTCCTCTCWGTCCTCTAGCCTCTTTATTTAGTTTCCAGAAAAAGAGTGGCTTAGTGGCTTAATATGCTTGTCCTTTTGGAGGGTCCCTWAGGAGAGTCTGGAGGTAATTTCAGTGTCCAAGAGAGAAACAATCATGAAGGGTTTAGTCCTTGGAAAGYTGGCTAATCCAAGCAGTCAGAGCTGTCAGGGTTGGATAATCCACAAGGTGTCTCAAGAACAAAATGRCTCTGACTTTCAGTCTATTTTTTGTCATTTCTTATCCTGACTTCAAGCTCTGAGTGTTTCTGGGAGTTGACTGTGGAAATGGTGCCAACCCCCAGACTCATATGCTGCACTTCTGATGGGATCTCCTTCTGACTCTTTGATCAGTCACTGGGAACCTGCCAACAGGTACTGAGGAGGGAACACAAGTCAGTAATCATACAGGCAGAGTCTTCCATCTGTCCTGAAATTTGTATCCACAAAAGCCATGTACAGTCTCAGGCCAAAAGCTGGAAGAACACCAAAAGTCGGAGTTTTAATAAGATAGGTATGACATATTTTAATGGTTACTTGGTTAAATTATCTTTAATAAATTGATTATTTTAAAAAAGATTTCATAAAGAAAATAATAAAGATTTGTGCTTAAAATTTATAGACCTGAAAACACCTAGAAATACACACTAGCACAACTTTACAGTGGCAATCAGTGGGAACTCCACCTTCCTCAGTCTTTCCCCACCTTTTCCACACCAGAAATAACTGGGCTAAGGGCTGTGCTTTCACACTGCTTCGGTCTGTTCTGCATCTACACCTGGTTAAGGCAGATGGGGAAGAGCGAGGAAAAGCTAAACTATAATTATAGCACAAAATACAAACCAATACCACAATTATAGCACAAAATGCAAGCCACTGGAAAGACCCTGAATTGAAGATAGAAGCCAAGCTTGCTGCATGTGAAGAAAGGAGACAAATCCTTCAGGATATGGAAGGATTGATTGACTATGCCACWATTTCAAGAAAGAGGAACATCAGCTTCTCAGATCAACACATGACACAAGGGCCTTGCATGAAACATTCATGAAAAGTCAGGAAGCYAATGCTACTGGTAAAAGTCTATATCCTCCCTTCTTGCAGTCTTGTGGGTATAATTCTAGATTCACTACCTTCAACTCTGGTGAATAAGACTCTGCTTAGTCTAACAGCCTGGTGCTGGGGAGTGAGAAGAGTTGGAGTGGAAGCAGCAAGCAGAGGGGATGGGCTCTGACAGAGGCAGTGGGTGAGCACGGGTTAAGGTGTGCTGGCAGYGTGGAGGAATCCCTCTCCATCCAGTTCCTGGCAACTTGCTCCAGCAGCTGGCATCCAGGGACCAGGCTGCCACACATGGCAGGGAGTGGTGATGAAGTTGACATTAGCAGCCTCTGAGTCTGCAGAAAGGGGTTTCTGTAGAAGTGATAAAGAGGAACTCTGCTGGAGTTAGGCGGCAGTAAACACCTGTCAGCCTGGTACCTTAGGTGGGCTCCCAGAGCCGGACCTGCTGAGCAGCCCATGGCACATGCTGGGAGCAGCCACCTCTGAGAAGGATGTGAGTCMGTGAGAAGGAAATCAGTGATGCTCTGCAGAGGTTTGCCTTACTGAATGTTGTGGCACAGTCAGTGTGTTAGTGTGACTGCTGATCACCCAGTGATGGCTGTGTAGCAGAACCTGGCACAAGCTGGGTTTCTGTACTGGAAGCTTGGCTGTGGCTGCTGCTTCCTTTGGAGAGGGAAAGGGAGGATGATGTATTTTCCATTTATATGGACAATACAAAAGATGGTTGGTCTTCGCAAATTCAGGCTCAAAGTCACAGCCACATTATTCTARCTTTTTTTAAAACCCTAAGGATCTCTGTGCTATTAAATAATCAGGCGTACATTCACACAAGTGCTCTCTTCAAAACATGAAACAAAGGTAACTGATGCTGAAACTCAGTTGCGTAATTTCTGTAAGAGAGAGATAATTTTATCTAGTWTGTGAATTCTGCCGTAAGAGCCGTTTACTGCTATCAGGATTTTTCCTTGTAAGTGCCTCTCTTCCCTGGACTAAAGTAATTACATTTAAATGATGCTTTTCCTTCCAGACTGCTGCAGAAGGACAAMTATTCACAATGCAGTAATTTCATAGTAGTCACATTTCAGTTCCACTTGCAGCAATCTTGATTGCTTAAGGGAGAGGTACAGAAAAAGTTGTTCTGTGTCTTYAGAAAACACATACAGATATTGTTTTCCTTCTAATTTTAACAAGTAGTCATTGCTATGAATTAAATTCAYTCTTGGGTCTCAATCTGTCATATGTATCTGTATGTCCATGGCCAAATCCTGAGTGTTAGGTTTCTTGTCAGCCAAGGAAGAAGTGGCATAACATGAGACCCCTAAAATTTTTAGTAGTAGGCAGCAAAAAGAAGTAAACTGGGAAGCTATAGGTAAATGGCATCTTGAAGTTGTCTCTAAAGGAGCCTTTATTTTCTACAGAAGGCATCTGTCCAAAATGCAGTCATATGATGGACTTAAAATTTAAAATTTTTTAACTGAGAATTCTTCCAAGATTAAATTGAAGCAAAGCAGATCTCTTACTCAAAGAAATGTTTTACTTACGGGCAGCTGTTAAGAATTTTTGTACACTACATTTGAATTGTTTATGTAGCTTTAGATGTGATGGTAAGAACTTGAAGCAAGACTTTATCTCCCTTAATTTTTGATGGACTCTACAAAAATGTTTCATTGATAGAATGGTTTGCTGAGGTCCTTTCTTTCCAACGTAATCAAAAGTTAAGGTAAATAGGAAACATCATTGAACTTTGTATCATGGCTAAGGAACATAGGCCCTCTCTCTAAGTTGTAAGAATATTTCAGTTTGTAGGGACATTCAATGATCATCGAGTCCTTTTTGCCAAAAAGTTTCCTGCTATTGTGAAGTAGAGCATTAGCAATGACAGTGCCAGCTACCCATGCAGGAGTAGTTGGTAAGGTTGATGTCGATATTGTGAAGCTCTGGAACAGGGGACCCAGGAAAATTTTTGCATCTCTATTACTGGAGGGGTTAAAAAATAAGACAGGTAAAARTCTGTTTGCAATAATTCAATCATTACTTATCTTACCCATTTAAGATGCTTTCCAATTTAATTTTCTATTATTTATTAATGTGYTGACATATCTCAAACTGTTGTGTTTTCATTCTGTTTGGTTTTGGTTTGTTTGGTTTTTTGTTTTGGTTTTGGGGSCTTTTTTTTTAAGCTCCGTCTCCCTATACTGTGAGAAAATTAGCTGTCAATGAAAAACCTTAAAGTAAGTTCCTACGTCAGARAAAGGCTGGAATACTTGACTCTAAGCCTGAGGACATAACACAAGAAGGATTTAACAATAAAACTCCATTCTCTGTGAACAGCAGAGCTGTTTCACTTTACCTTGGATTCTTGCACAACATTTTCTTGCTTCTCCACCATCATAATTCCAACTGTCTGCAACTGCTATCTGTAGGAATAAAGGGAACTATGTGTTCCCTACCATGATACATCCTATTTTCCTACAAGCCCTCTTCAACTGATCAGAANATCTTCGCCAAGAGCCCCATTTGCTAAAGCTGTTTCTTTATAAGGTGCTTGAGCAAGCATGGACTGATCCAAAGCTGTGGCCATGGTGACTTTTGGCTGCTGCTGCTGTGGGGAAAGAAGGAGAAGTTCTGACCTGCCCATGTCTTTCCACCACTGGCACTTCACCTGACTGGTGTTTTTTCTTGYACTTGCAGGAACTTGGTGAGGTCCCAATAACTCTGTCAAAATGTGATTAATATTAGTTAATATTAACAGTGCAACAGTGARTCTTGGAGACTGATGGACAGATGGAACAATGAAATCTCAATTAAATTACATAAAATTAATCTTAACAGTTTTAAAGATATTGAAGTTTTGAAAACCTGGCTCATGGTTTTTGAAGCAATGGAATTGTCAGATCTGAACAAAATGTGCCTTGTAAAAAAATGACTCTACAATGGAGTATCTTCTCTAAATTAGTGTCTTTCTTTGCCAGGACTATAATTACACTCTTTCATTTTAACCTCAATGATGTGAAATTGTTCTGGTAAACTAATATGTCTTTAAAATYGAGAAAACTACAACTGGTTCCAAGTCACATAACATAAATTGTCTCAGAGTTGATAAAAGATGTCCTCAAGGTCTGATTCAGAATTTAATCACCCTAGAGCTGGATGTACTTGTTTGGAGAGGATGTTTTGGAAATATGCTCATATGTGTTTACACCACCTGCTTGCAGGAAAGGACAAAATAGACTGATACTGGTTCTTGTTTGAATTTTTTTTTTTTCCTCAGCAGATATGGATTTTCTTAAAAAAATGTTTAAATTATTTTCTCATTGGATGTATTTAAACTTAAATATCATGTTTGGAATTTAATAACTTGATTGTAGTTTAATAAGTATAGAGGCTTTTAAAATATGTTGTGTGTATAATATTTTGATAACTATACAGAAAGAATACTGTATTGCCATGAAATGCATGCATGAMATATTMATTTCCAGCATGATCTCAAATAAAYATTAAGAAATGATGACTWTAAAGACTCAGAAAWAATGCTCAGGAAATTATTCAAACATAATATTGCTGAAGGACACTCATTCAGATATCTTTTTTATTTCCTTGCCACAATTAATACAGAAAAGAAATTCCAAAGACTGCAAAGCAGCATGAGTTCATGACTTTGCTTTGTTCWTCTAACCTAATCCAGTCAGAAGTACAGGTCTAAAAATCATAATTCTGAGACTTGAAGGATTTTTATGCATTTGCTAGCTATCTGTTGTTCCTTTTTGGTTGCAGGTATAAAGCAGGAAATGGGCATGAAACAGACTGATCATCAAAGGCCAGCCTGAAAATCATATCTGAAGACTGAGAGTACCAAAAATAACAATTTTTCAATCCTGTGCTTTTTCTATAGTTAAACCAGCAGTAAGTGATAGTGGTTTTGACTGCTGCACATTTATCCTTAACCTGAYGTTGACTTTATATTCTCTGTAGTATTTGGTCCCTTTCAGACCAGAAAAAAAGTTTAAATTCTTAGCAATAGTCAGGTTGGAATTTACTGCCACCACATTCTGTCACCTCCTTTTGGACAGGAGAAGTAGAATGAGTCATGAAGTTTGGCAATGTGGAAAGACAAGCTYTTTTTAACACATTGTCTCCTTTCAGTTCTACAGCAGTTGAAAACAKATTTCTCCTCTGGGGCCAGAGGGGCAGAGGTGTGGGGTGCCCAGGGAAGTTGTTCTAGCTCTGGTCTGGGGGTTTCCAGCCCCAGGAAGGGAGCAGGGACATCCCAATGTCCCATCCCAACCAAGCTGGCATCAGTTTCCTAAGCCATGGAACTGCTGTGTAAGGATATTTGATACTCAGAAAAAAAACCCAGAAAACATTTGTACAAGAAAACTTCAATTACAGTATTTAGCAGAATCATTTTTGTAACAGCACTATCAATAATAGAAAAAYGTGTCCTGGGCAGAAGCAGAGGTGAGGGCTTTGTCTGGACTAGACAGTGTAGATTTGTTCAGCAGACAATGGAGAAAACAACAATTCATCTCTTTTAGATGCTTGTTTTATAAATTATATCTGTTCCCTTTGACAATGCAGACAAGTTCCTCGTTCATGAGAAATGGATCCTGCAGTGGCTTGTGGCAAAGACAGCTATTTAGTCAGGAGAATCTCCTCTTTTAACCTCCTCCTCTGGGAGGCTTGTGAATGACTTTGCACACTCAAATTCAGCTGCACAGGGCACAAGTTGACTTTAATTCCTGACTCTTACTGCAAGTCATGGAGGTGCTCTTTGAAATGTGTTCGCATACTCTGCCAACAATGATTTTCTCCAGTGSAGAAAAGTCTGTGCAGATTAGGGAATTTTCTCTCACAAAGGGGTTGCAGAAGGATTGCTGGCATTTTATCTATCCCTTTCATAAGGAAATGGGTCAGACAAAACTCATATATTTGAAAGAGAGTCAGGTTTTTAGGGACAGCTTGCACTTATTGATATTTGTGCTTTCAGCACTTCACATTTGAACAGGCATTGAGAGAAGCAACATGACAGGCATGGCTAACCTGGTCTCAATGCAGAATTTTTAAAGGTTCTCTTCTCCTATCTTGTTTTTCTCTGCAGCTATAAAATGATGGGTGCATTTAAAATGATTTTTGACATGGGTCTTCTGATTTTTCTTCCCCACATCAACACATTGTATAGGGAAAAATGTGTCAATATTGTGAGGAACATCATTCATTAAAGAAAAGGATTTTTGTATCTCTATGGGTTTTTTTTTTTTTTTTTTTTTTTTTTTTTTTTTTGGAAATTTTTTTTTTTTTTTTTTTTTTTTTTCATCATGGTAACATAGGATTGCTATATCAGATTTAAACACTGGAACATCATATCCTACAGCCTGCCTCTTGCCCTAGCTTATACCTAACAGCTTTTAAAAAACAAGGAAAAATTCTGTAATGTGCTGGGCCTGTTGTGTAGTTCTGGATCCAAACTGGAGATAGACAAGGCTTCTGAATGACCTGTGCACAAGATGTGTTTCTACAACTTCATTATCTGTTACTTCAGAGGCACCATGGCTACAGTAATACAATTCACCCTTTTATCTGAATGAGTCCATAATATTTGATGCGATATAAGGCACTTAAAAAACAAACTACAAATCARTGTGAATCTGCAAGAGTTTTAATTAAGCACTAATGAGACCAGGAATCATGATGCTTTTGCATACAGAGAAAGATAGAAATAGAAAATACTTATTATTATATTGCTCTATTCTTTCAAAAATATCCCATCATTTTAATCTCAGTTTCTCTTATTCTTGGTCAGGGTCTTTTGTTTATAGCTAAGTTCATAGCAGTTTGCTGAATCAAAATAACATCTCTGCTGAAGGGGATATGAATGCATTATAGTTATGCTTCTGACCTTTTGCCAAGAACAAAAATACATACTCAAAGACAAAGAAGAACTGGGCGTAGCATCAGGGCTTCTCTTGTAAAGTTTCCAGTTTGCTGAAGACTTACATTTTTAATTACTATTGGACCCTGTAAAAAAATTTGGTGTGCAGATGGAAGGCATCACTTSAACAGGCCTGTCTCTGTAGAAGCTGCAGCTACCACACTGCGAATGGATAGCTGATTAATCAGGGAGCTGGCTGGAAAGCTGGRTTTAGGTCTGTTTCCAGATCTCCCATAGACTTGCACAACCTTGGGTAAATTACCCTTGCTAAGTCCTTGAAGGAACATCTGCTGTTTTATGTGTTCCATAAMAGCTCCTGTGCAATGAGTAGGCAGCCTGACAGAGCTGCTTTGMTGRTGATTTAYCATGGTAGGAACTTAACMCAGAGYAGGACTWGGGCTGGGAWTTRGGCTGGGAGATTCACAGGGCAGTTMTGGTCAGGAGAAAGCTCTGCAGGTGGTCTGGTGCTACCTCCTGCACAGAGCTGAACTGTTGTCCAAATGATATCATTTTACTCAGGAGATGACCAGTGAAATTTTGGAAACCTCAGAGGATGGATCTTATATGGTATCTCTGGGACCTGCTACGATATTTCCTACATAATGATTTTCTTTTTTTTTTYCCTCACTGGAAATTGTGACCATTGAACTTATGAGAAGACCCTGGTTTTGCCTTTTCTRTAACTGCATTTTAGCTTGTGGAAGATTGCAGTTAGTCTTTACTTTTAGTAAAACTAATTTCTACTAAGTTAGTCTTTACTTTTAGCCTTTTTTGGGCTGAAAAAACCTTTTCCCTCAGCCTTTCCCCATCTAAGCCCTCAGCCGTGAGACTGACCCTCCTCTGGCCTGTCTGCCAGTCACACCTCTTGTCCTGGGRTGGCAGCACTGGGGACAGGAGAGCACAAACCTCCACAAAAGTGTCAAGAAAAGTGGAATAACCATTTTTCCCAACTCCCTTACTGTACTCCTGTTAATGGAACACAGCATGCTGTTAGCCTTGCTCACTGCAAGGATCCACTTCTGCCTCATATTTAGCTTGTTTTCCAACATAACTTTTTCTGCAGAATTGTTACCTGTATTCCTAGTTCCATTGCTATAGCTTAAAATTTTGCTCRCTGATTGAACAACAGCAAAAACAGGCAGGGGATGCAAGTTTTCCATTTTCATTTAGCAATGAAGAGGAGCGATTTTCRTGTTTGAATACACTCTAAAGCAGAAGCTGTTCTGGACAATGTCTGTAGGATAAATATTGTGATTTTATTACAGGGAGAAATACTGAATTGGGTTGACTAATAAGTAGTGCTCGCCTCAGCTAGTGCCAGAGATCACTAGCAAGGATGTTTGAGAGTGCTGTGCAYCTACACAGGAGGGTTAGTTCTGAGTACTCTAGCTATGAACATTCTGGCATGTCCTAAAGGCAGCAGAGTGATTGTTTCACAAGTTATAAGAGGATACCAAAGATTAATTGTCCCAGCCATCTCATTCACTGTTCATTTGCTGCCCTCCCTCCCTGTAGGATGGTTATCATTTTGTGCAGGTTTCTGATTGGGCATTAAATTTCCAGAGGGATTATCATAGTGGGAGTCAGCACATTCAATCTCCCTGAAGCAGGAATGCTGAAAACTTTTACATGTAGATCATTGCATTTTGGTCTCATTAAATTAGGATTCTATT